CCCCTTCCCCTTCCCCTTCCCCTTCCCCTGCAGTTTGGGATCTCATCCAGCCAATCCCGCTCTCCTTTTCCCCCTCTCTCTCTGCCTTTGTGGGCAGTGGTCCCTGGAGCTCTGCAGGCAGACGATATTCCCAGAGATATCCAATACCCGGATTTGCCTGGAGCGAGGGGGATTTTTTTGCCTTGTTGTTTCCCTCATGGAATTGTCTGTGCTGAACTCGCAGCCCGGACCAACAGAGCAGAAAGCACGGACCAAACCCCGTTCCCAGCCACCCCCATGCGTGTCTCCTTGGATTAGTTTTCCTCACGCCTCAGTGTTGGATTACATCCCGTGCTGTGACATCCTGATGGAATGTGGCAACGGCGGAGCGGGACGCGATGGGAAGTGATGGGCTGGCAAGTGACTAACGCTGCTGGAGCCGCGTCTCCTCTCATTTCCCTCCAACTTCCCTGGCTGCTGGGAATGTTTTCCGGGCCGGATGGGAGCTGGGTTTCCCCAGCTGGTTGATCCCTGCCGGGAGGTTTCGGCATCAGCGGAGTTGTTTGGTCCTTGCAGGATCAACATCCGTGTGGGAGTTACACCAAGCAGGAGCAGAACCATGGGATGATTTGGGCTGGAAGGGAGCTTGAAGCTCATCCACTTCCATGGGCAGGGACACCTCCCACCAGAGCAGGTTGCTCCAAGCCCTGCCTGCATCCCAAGGATTCCCTGTCCCCATCCCTGTGGTGATCCGAGCTCTCCACAGCATCCCATCCCTATGGGCTCTTCTAAAAATCCCTCTTCCCTTTTCCTCCTGTGGGAGCAGCAGGGCAGCACCCAGATGCTCTGGATTGCTGTGGAATTACTTCCCTAAGCCCAGAAACACAAAAATTGTTGTTGTTGTTGTTGTCAGCTGGAGATGGGTGAGGGGAGCCCAGCAAGGCCCCATCCCTCCCTGGCTGTCTCTCCATGATTTCTCTTCCACAGCCTTGCTGCTCCTGGCAGGAGCACGTTCCCATCTGAGTCATCCCTGGCCCGGGTCAGGAGCGGGCTCAGATGCTTCCCTCTGATTTTTAACATCCCTTTGTCCTGATGGATTTTCACAGAGGGCTGGAGGGAGCTGCAGAAGGAGCCTCTTCCTCCGACAGCACAGATCTGGCTGGGAGAATCACAGGATCATGGCATGTGCCAAGTTGATCCACCAGGATCATCCAGTCCCAGCCCTGCCCTGCCCAGACCCCCCAACATCCCACCCTGGGCATCCCTGGCAGCGCTGTCCAAACGCTCCTGGAGCTCTGGCAGCCTCGGGGCCGTGCCCATTCCCTGGGGAGCCTGGGCAGTGCCAGCACCTCTGGGGGAGGAACCTTGCCCTGATCTGCACCTAAACCTCCTGACACAGCTCCAGCCCTTCCCTTTCCCTGTCCCAGGGAGCAGAACCCAGAGCTGCCCCTCAGAAGGAAGCTGTGGAACCACTGGTTTAATGTGGTCTCCAGGGATGTCCCCTCCCTGGCCAGCCCTGTGTGACAGCTCCATCACACCCACTGTGGTGCTGCTCCAGCCGTGTCCCTGGGGGGATTCTCCTGAATCCCGGTCCTGCCTCTTCCCCTTGGCTCTGTGAGTGAGGAATTTGCAGTTTGTGGTGTTGAGCATGAGCAGGATCCCAGCCAGGGATGGCCAAGTGACAAGTGCTGAGATGCCACCTGGAGCCCCCCCAGCTCCTGGACTGTCTGTGAAGGAGCCCCTGAAGGGCTGACCCCAGGTGGGTTTGGTGGGATCCAGGACAATGCCCAGTGGGTCAGCATGGGGGTCCCCGAGCCCTAAATCCAGTTTTTCTGCTGGAAAGCACCAGGCTGGACACAAGGACAGGACAGTGGTGGTGAAGGTGACATGGGGAAGTAGCCAGAGCCACCCAGACTGTGCCCCCTCTCCGTGGCCATCCCAGTGGCAGTGCTGGGGTGGCTTTGTGGGGGGGACACCTGTCCCCAGTGCTGTCCCAGCCCCAGGAGGCTCCAGGAGGGACTTCCCAAAGGGAATTCCTTTCTTGGGGACCACCAGTGGTTCTCTCCTCCCTGAACCTGCCCTGCAGGAGCCCTCCCCAGCTGTGTTGGCAGCACAGCTGGCAGCTCCCTGCAGCCACAGCTGGCCACAGCTGGCAGTGAGGCTCCGGGAGGTTTCCCGCCCTGGCAGTGGAGTCGGAGGGCACAGCTTTAGCGGGATTAACCTAATGGAGCCTGCGAGGCTGGGAATTGGAGGGGGGAAATCCCCATGTGAGGCTTTAAATCAGCTGAACGTGACATTTGAGCTGGATAAATGGGATGATCACGCTGGAAATGGGAACTGCCCGCATTAGAAAGGGACTCTTTCCTTACTGGAGATGCTCTGGGAGCAGCTCCTGCTTGGGATGATCCCCTCTGCTCCAGCTCAGGTCTGGCTTCATCCTGCTGGATCCATCCTGGATCATCCTCTCACCCACTGGAGCTGGCTGTGATCCACAGGGTGGGAAGAGACCTTAAAGACCGTCCCATTCCACCCCCCTGCATGGACAGGGACACTTCCCACCGGATCAAATTCCATGTGGAATATTTGCCACGTGCACTAATGGAGGGAGCAGGTGACTGCCTTTGTAGCTTGAATCCTGCATGGATTGATATCCTGGGGAGAGAAAGCTGCTGGGGCAACTGCTCTGGGATCTCTCCATCCTCTTTTGGCCCTAAAAGCAGCAGGAGCAAGGCCTGAGATGTCTCCTGAAGGGACTTTGCTGCAGAGCACCTCCCTGGGGTGCTGGGCTCCCAGCTGGAAGCGAACTCAGGATAGTGGGAAGGCATTGGGACAGTGTCCCTGGAACTGCCACGGGTTGAGACATTGGAACTCTGTCACTGGAGCTGGCACAGGGTGCCCAGAGCAGCTGTGGCTGCCCCTGGACCCCTGGAAGTGTCCCAGGCCAGGCTGGATGGGGCTTGGAGCAGCCTGGGACAGTGGGAGGTGTCGCTGTTCATGGCAGGGGTGGAACAAGATCATCTGTAAGATTCTTTCCCACCCAAACCATTCCATGGGCATTATGGTCTGTCTCTGGACTGGGATTTTTGCCTGGTGGTAGAGACATTCCTGATCCTGGATATCTTTTGGGGTTGAGCTCCATTGGGAAGAGGCTCCAACTCTTAATTTCTCCATGGGACTCACCCACCTTGGGAGCATTTTGGTGACAGCCTGGGATATCTGGGATAAGTGCAAAGTCTCCTGGCCATTTCTTGGCTTTGCAGTGACTCACCCCGGCATTCTTAGCAATTCCATCGATTTTATCCGTCCCATTCATACTGTGAACATCTGATTGCTGTGGCAGGAGAAGGAGGGTTTGTTTATCAGGCTGTCTCCGTGATGGATAACCTGCTCCCACCAATTCCCTGCCATCCACACAGGGGCCAGGAGATGAGGAAGGGGCAATTGTGACAAAACACAGTCCCACACCACCCGTGTGCTCGGGCACTGCTGCCACCCCTGGAAGATGCTCCGGGTGTCCTTGGTGAGGGTTTGGGGCTCTCTGAGGGCATCACCGCCCACCCCAAGCAGGGTGGAACCCCAAAATAACCATCCGGGCGAGCTCCAGGTGATTTTCTCCATGCAGGACACGCCCAGGCAGGCATCCCAGCCGGGGAGCAGCCGGAACTGAGCGCGGCGCTGCCGGGATGGCAGCGGGGCCAGCGAGGGCATCGC